AAGTCACCTGAACTCCCCAGTGGGATGAAAGGGGATGAACTGCAGTCTCACCTTCACTAGCTATAACAGGAACATCTTTTATGCTTTCACTCCTTAATGTTATACTCCTGCCCTCTCTGCAACTTACCTTTCTACCCAGCCTTTATAGACAGGAATGTCCTTGGCATAGAGCAACTTGGTTGAAGGGGAGTCCTTGCCCAGGCGGTGCTCAGAGGTGGAGCATGAGTCCATGAAGGTCTGGGCCACCACCGAGAGGCAAGCATCTGTGATGCTGCTCTTGTGGATATCAAAAACAAACTGGGGGTTCTTGATGACATTCACCCAAAACCGCAAAGGCAGGCTGGAATGGAAAAGAAGCAAAATATGTGGGACATTGGCTTTGGAAAACCCATTGTCACAGTGATGTAAAATGTCCCTCTGAGAAGGGAAGTGTGAGAAATAGAGTCAGACATCCAATTCTCATATTTTGTTTGGCATGGGAGTGTTATTGCATGGTTTTCTTTTTTTGAAACCCTGGGAAACACAAGCAGAAATAGCTGAATACATCAAAGATTGAAGTTCTTGGGAGGGTTCCTAAATCACACGTTCCTACTGTTCTCAGTCTCACTTGCTGGAGATGGTACTTCCTGTTTACCAAACTGTGCTCCTAGGAAAGTAAAATCCAAGAGAAGAAATGGAACATGGCCTCCCCTTTCCTGACCTTAAGAAAAAGAAGCTGGCAAAATATTTGGGGTCACGAGGGAGAGCTGTTATACCCTCATGAACATAAGCTTTGTTGGGCCCAAAAAGGCATTCCTAAGTATGATCTGATCAACCAGTGTAGAACAGGTTGGCCTAAGGCAGGAAGTAGTCAAAGAGACAAAATATTATTTTGACGGCTGGCTAATGGTATGAATTTTAGGTAGGTATGTTCAGAAAAAAAGGGGAGACAGGTTAAAAAAGGAGAAGACAGTTTCCACATCTGAAAACTGCAGAAGTCACCTCTCCATATGCTTGTCTGTGCACGTGGGCACCTTCAAATTTCTTGTTAACTTATGGTGACCTCGTGAATTTCACAGGATTTTTTAAAGCAACAAATACCAAGGAGGTGGTTTGCCCATTTCTTCCTCTGAAATATAGCCTACAACCCTTGGTATTCCTTGGTGGTCTTGCATCCAAGTACTCAACAGGGCTGACCTTATTTAGTGTCCAAGATCAGATGGGATCTTATGCCTTTAGGGTATTCAGACCTGGGGCAAAAAGGTTTCTTTTTCTACCTACTTAAGCATGGGCGCACAATACATTGGCCTAAATACTAGTCAGTCTTGACTACAGTAGTCATTGAATCCACTGGATCTACTTACATGTTGACAAACCAGTCAGCAACTGATCCAGTGGGTCTATTAATTGGGACTGAGCAAAAGGATTCCATCCATTTGGTGTCAGTTACCAGCACCAGGCTTCACCTACAAGCCAGCAGCTGCCTTCCACAGCTTCATGCGATAGGCCTAAGGACCAGAGGCCAAAGCTAAAAGTCTCTCACCAGTTGCTTTTCCAGGTATGCCGAACGTCAGGGTCACCAATCTGCCTCCGTTCCGCCTGTTCGTCCAGGAAGTCAAACATGTATTTGATGGGCAGGGGGAGGGCACTGGCCCGGTGGGCTGTGCTGAACACAGTCTCAAACAAATCATCTACAAACTTCTGCAATGTGCCCTGGGAAGGGGAAGGGGAGAAAAAATAAATAAAATAAAAGCCTTCTGGAAAATGTCTTTTCAGATGTATGGAGAAAACTAAAGGCTGTAACTGGGAGATCCCAGCTATTTTTCCTTAACCTCATCCCTACCATGCTAAGAAGTATAAAATCCCAGCCAATGTGAAATGAAAAGAAACAATAGCAAGAGCAGAATCCCATCACCTCCAAAGAAAGCTAGTGGCAGTGGCAGCAAACTGTCAAGGGGAAACCAAAAAATGATGCTGTTATATGGTTGCTGTTTCAGAGTTCTAAAAATATTGGTCTTCATTAAAAGACTCAAACCACATACAAAAGCCTAGCCCTTGTGCACACATACTTGAACAACATACTTAGGAATCAGAGAACAAGTCTTGCAATCTTAGGGGATTTCAACTTCTGAACCTTCACCCACAAGTCCCTCTCAATTACCAGATGCCAACATCTCTTTTCCTTCTGGCACTCTGGCCTCTGCTACCACATAACCGTAAAACTCCACATTTTTTCATTTATTAATTAAAGTATTTCATTTATCACATTTAATTTTATTTAATTATTCATATCCTGCCTTTAACACAGCATGGGGCCTAAAGTGGTGATATTTTCATTCTGCTGTACATCTAAAGATATCAGGGTGGGATAAGGTATTAAAACAACAAGATAGCCTAAATACACACACACACACTAAAATACATTATACCAGGGGTAGGCAACCTTTCCCCTTTAAGGGCCGAGGGACTTCAGCTCCCAGAACTTCAGCCATGTTGGCCAATAGTCCCATGTTGACCAATAGCTCCTGGGATTCTGGGAGCTGAAGTCCCTCGGCCCTTAAAGGGGAAAGGTTGCCTACCCCTGCCCTAAGAGCTCTAGTGAAATGCCTCATTGTAATGCAGCACCAAAGATTCAACATTCAGTGCCAAATAGCCATCAAGGGAAGGAAATTTCCACAACTGGGGCACTGAAGCAGAGAAGCTCCCCTCCCCTACACAATAGCAATAGCATGTACATTTCTATATCACTTATCCATGAACTCTCTAAATTGTTTACAGTCTGTAAGTCAATTGCCCCCAACAAGCTGGGTACTCCTTTTACCGACCTACAAAAGGATGGAAGGCTGAGTCAACCTTGGAGCCTTGCCTGGGATCAAACTCACAACCTTGTGGCTGCAGTACTAGTATTTAACCACTGCGCCACCAGGGCTCCATACAACACACTGCTTCCTCTGGTGGGACACAGGGGTGGGCATCCCCAGCAGATCTCAGTGGTCAAGTGGGTATATATACTGAGAGGTGTTCATCCAAATATGAAAACTACAGGGCAGTAGGGCTGTGTTCACAAGGACCACAAACTCAGACTAGAAGTGCATTTATCAGTAGACAGTGCAGGCTCTTTACAAATGGTGTCATACAAGTTTCTGTAAGGTGTTCCTGTCAGCTACTGCACATTGCACTAGCTGCTACCTCTGTGCCATTTTCAAGGGCAGTCCCACATAGACCATAGCAGTCTAAACAGAAAGTTAACTAGCCTCAGAGGCAGATGAAAGATCTTCCCTCCATCTTAACTGCTACCACCTTGGCCTCAGGGAAGAGAGGAAAATGCAGGCACAGCTCCACCATGCCTAGCCCTGAGCCAGATGAAAGGCCTTCCCTTCATCTTAACTGCTATCACCCTGGCCTTGGAGGAAGAGAAGAACCATTAGTATCTGTTGGATTTGGTCCCCTTCCCCACCGCCATTCTCTTCTCCATTTCTGTCATGTCTTTTTAGATTGTAGCCCCAGAGCAGAAAACTGTCAAATTAGCAATCTGTAAACCGCTCTGAGAGCCTTTATGGCTGAATTGTGGGATATAAATACTCTAAATAAATAAATACACTGGCCTTTTGTCATCTGTTGGCTTGCGATCTGAAGATCTGAGCTTCTGGGGATGGCAAGTGCCATTTTTAATGGAGATGTGCCATGCACACATTGCACTACCATAGTAAACAATGGGACTTGAGGTTCCACATTTTTTGTTATGTGCATGGGGGGGGGGGTCTGGAATGGATCTCCCGTGGATACAAAGGGACAACTGTAATAAATGAACAGTACACAAACAACTGCCCCTATTGAAGAAAGACTGGCTGGCAGACCTGGCAAAGCTGGTCCTAGGAGTTCCAAACTATGGAGCCCACTTGAGCCTCCAGTGACAAAAGGAGGATCCCATAGTACTCCCAGGCTACATACCTGTTCCTTCAGGGAAATGTAACCACATCCAGGGTAGGTTGCTCACCTGGTTTTTGAGCCAGAGAGCCTCCAATCTACAGAGACTCCATCTTTGGGGGATTCAGCTTCTGTTTACTAGCCCTCATTCAACCCACTGCAACACCCACACTGGAACAGCCTTACTTTACTCTGAAGCCAAGGAGGAATAGAGGTGATGTCTAGAGAGCTGACTGATGGCATTTTGACTCCTGATGACTTCACCCTATGGCTTCATATAGGTACTAAGCCAGTATGGGCAGTAGAATGGAACCCTTTGGCACCTCACAGTTTAATAGCTCTGAGGCTGAACTGCAACCCCTAAATGCCACTCTCTTCATATGGCCCTACAGGAAGGAGCAAACCCTCTGTAATATTGTGCTGATTCTCTTAATCCCATAGAGCCAATACAAGATTATACCAGGGCCAATAGTTTCAAAAGCTGCTGAGAGAGCCAAAAGAATCAAGTGGGCATCAAATCAGGCATCTAAATGACACAAAAGGAAGATTACTCCACTTGCAAAATTCTGGAACCTTTGCTATGACCAAATAATAAGTGAAAATTTAGTACAGAGATGGAGAAGAACAGATCCAAATGCAGTATCCTCCAGCAAAGCACCACCACTCTTGCATCTGAATACGTAACCTGTTTTTCTAAATATTCTGTTCCTAACACTATCCCAGCTGCTGCTGAACACTCCTTCTTGAGCAGATTCCCTAATAATCTCAATCAAATTATATCAAATCCTCTCAAAAGTCCCAAAGGCTTCCCTAAGACCACACCTATACATCAGTGTAAGTAAGATTTACACTAATTTAAATGGTTGATGCTTCTCCCGAAAGAACCATGAAAAGATGGTTTTTGAAAAGATGTGAACAGCAAACATACTGTGTGTATGTGTTCTGTGCCTTCAAGTTGTTTCTGACTTATGGTGACCCTAAGGTGAACCTATAATGGGATTTTTTTGGCAAGATTTGTTCTGAGGCAGTTTGCCATTGCCTTCTCCTGTGGCTGAGACCATGTGACTTGCCCAATGTCACCCAGTGGGTTTCATGGCCAAGATGGGAATTGAACCCTGGTCTCTAGAGTTGTAGCCCAAAACTTAAACCGCTACGCCATGCTGGCTCTATCAATATGTATTACAGCCAAATGCTGGATTACAGTAATGTGTTTATATTAATTTCAAAGAGTGAGTGAAAGAAAGCATAAGTGCACATGTCTGTACATGCACACAGATAGTGCTTCCAGGCTGATGGCACCAAGTGACATTATTCAAAAGACACTGCACAACTATCTTGTCTTCTTTGTCTTCTTTTTCTAGAGAAAAAATGGACAAGGCAAACAATGTGAAAAAACACAGGAGGGTAAGGAGTGGAAGGTTCCACCATCTGGAAGAGATGGTCACACTATAAAAGCTTCATCAGGAAGCATCCACTCTCCTACAATAATAGCACAACTCGGCCACTAAGTGACACCTGGATTCCTTGTCACCAGCAGATAATTTACTGCTCTGGCTTTGGCAGAGGATTTAATGACATGGCATTTCAATTTATGTCAATTAAATCTCTGGATTGAATTTAGATGTCAGCTGTTAGGGCACTGGTTTGCCACATGGACAACAATAACCATGTTCCTGTAACCCAGGACATGGTTTGAAGGATACCCTGTTCAGGAGTCAATCTCAAGGCATCTGTAGTGGAGGAAAGTTAGACAGGAATGACTGTGCGAGGAGTGAAACAAGGAAGACAACTAGAAAAATGTCTACCTAGCTTTTTTTTTTTTTAAAGGAAAAAAGTCTGGAGTTATAAAAACGATAGAGGACGGGAGGTGAATGCCATTGTTGGACGACAGGTCCCATAATCTGTGACAACTGGCTTGCTGGCTGGGTCTGATGGGAGCTGGCATCCAACATCTGAAAAGTCTTATGTTCTCCATCCCTGCAATAAAGGATCCAGGAACGGGGTGGGGGAAGGCTGATAGATAATCAGTATTTTCAACCAAGGCAAGAAACAAGTGTTAAGGTGGTAGAGAAAAATAGGATGACAATTCCCCAATAGCAAAAAAGATGTTAGGGGGAACTGTTTATTACCTCTGTTGATGAGGCAAACTGCAAAGAGCTTAAACAGCCCTATTCCCTATTCTATGAAAAAAGGCACATTAAGTAATGGAACCTGTAACCTAGGGAAACTGTGTAATGTCTGCTGCCACTGACTGTTCTTAGGTTGGGTTGGGAATTATGTGGCCTTCCAGATGCTGGACTGCAATTCCCAGCAGCCTTAGCCAGCAAAGCCAATGAGAAAGAAAGCTGGGAGTTGCAATCCAACAAGTACTAGAAACCCACATGACTCCCACCCATGGTTATGCACAGAATAACCAGATTAAATTCATCTCCTGATGCACTGATTTTGTTCTCTTCCTGCCATACCTTAGTGGCAAGGAGTCGGGTGAGGTAGATTTCAGACACCATCTTGCTCCCTCGTTCCCCTTCCTTGGGATCACCAAGATGCTCATGGTTCTTGACCAGATGCCAGAGACGGGTGCCTGAATCTTGGTCTGGAGTGAGGATGGGGGCTCGTGAGCGCAAACTCTCTGGGCTGCTGGAGGTACGCAGTAAACTCTCTGTGGGAGAGGGAAAATAAAAAAGAAGAAGAAGAAACAGCAGCCACCTTAAGCTGATAACCATGAACCTTCTTTCAGGCTATTTCAGAAGTTCTTTTCTCACATGGAGATAGGATTCCATTACTTCAGAATTCAACAGGACTTAGTAGAATTCAGCAGGGATGGGAATAGCAGAACTACCACCATCACCATTCTTCACAGGCCAAGTAGTATGTACTTGTTTCCTCTCTAACCACAGAGACACAAAATGGGTGCGACGCTTAAATTACAGGCATTCCATCCTTGGAATAGCAGTGGTAATTACAGCCAGGCCAGGGCGATGCTGGCAGAAAACTCAAGGATAAGAGATTTGGACGTGGCAACAGCCCTCCTCAAAGGGTGGCATGAAAATGCCACTTGGATTAAGTGACAAGGAGGAGAGACCACAAAAAGTGACAGGTGTGATGAGCTGCTAGATATACAGTAATGAGACAACATCAACTTCACATGCAGGCACAGGTTCACTCAGCACCATATACAATGGGGAGTAAGAGTGTGCTTAGACACACAAAAATGGACTTCACAAAGTTCCATTTGCAGTTTATGGAGACATGGGTAGAACCTTGATATATGGTGTCATATGTGTCCTATGCTTATGTGTTTTAATTTAATGCGTTTAAATGATTTTATGTGTTTTAATCTATTATTTTACCCCCCCCTTGAGCCTTGGGGAGAGGTGGGTAAGAAAATGTATTCATCATCATCATCACCACCACCACCACCACCACCACCACCATCATCATCGAGCCAACAGATCAAGAAAGACTTAGTGGAATCAGAAAAAGAAGATCCCAAATGTCATGGGTATACCACTGTGTAAACATTATTTTCAACCTAACTCTGTATGTGCTGTAATTCAGCACAAGTGAAGAAGAAGAAGAAAATCACAGAATGTGACAATAGATTTAACTTCCCAAGACTGTTTGGGATTTTTTTGGACTTTTAAAAAAAGCTTCTATCCTTTATGAGCTGCACATGTCTCACTTGAAGGGTATGGAAATGTTGGGTGAAATCTCAGGCACAAATAGTTAAGATTTTTAGCGGTTGAGGGAAGTCCCTCCACAAGTCTGCTAAACAAGAATTTTATATATATCAGTAATATATAGTTGTTGTTGTTGTGTGCCTATGGCAGGGGTAGGCAACCTAAGGCCCGGGGGCTGGATGCATCCCCCCGAGGCCTTTTGACCGCCCCCAGGACGGTCCTGCCGCCGCCGTCCGCCATGATGATATTGATTATTGTTGTTATTACT